TTTGTACCGGTTTTTCTTACAAAAGCCAAGTCAGCAATACAAAACTAAGTCAAGTATACAAACACAAAGTGAACAGTTTTAGTATCGAGCTAATAATAGGCACGAAAGCATTACACAGGGTTTACACTAATTCCAAAATACCGGTTTTCCAGTAGGTATGCGGTACAAGCAGATATCCAATACCGGTAGTCATTTGGCTAGGTATTGTTGTAGCTGCGGCGCAGCCTGCACCGCAGTTATTACGTATAAATGTGGACCACGTTAGTGTTCTTGACTCTGGCAGTGCACAATTTGCATAAGACTGCCGCCGTCCGACGTTGCCAGTTGTGATCGTCACGAGAAACACCACCAAACCAATGACTTAATGGACGCAACATTGAAGGCAACTTATGGACAAGAAGCAGCGTGCGGGCTTCTGGCGGTCGTATCGCGTCTTCATAGAGTGCCAGATACCGCAGCCTTTCACTACATATTTTTTTCCCCTGAAAATTTGCTAAAGTGCCATACAATGCGCCGTACAAGCTTTGACAGTGCCATCTAGTCTCCTCTTCCTCATGCTTATTGATGAATAAGGACTCACATTTCTGTGAGATAATGGACGCGCTGTAGCTCCAGTAGAACTTACCGCACGCGTCTTTTCGACTAATTTTTCCTGAATATTGACCAAGCCGCCATACAACGCGTCATTCAAGCTTCGGCAAAGCCAATCAGCCTCCTCTTCCTTATACTAATTGATGAATAAGGTGTGGATGGGCACAGACATTTCTGTGAGATAATGGACGACGCTAAAGCTTGCTTCATTGGATCCTGCAGGCTCATTCGTCTTTTTAATCGTTAATTGTAACAGGCTGCTCGGTACTAGGTACGAGTTATCGCATTTTAAAATGCTTTTTCTCAGTTGCTGAGAACCGTTGTAACACAGTAGCGGAGGCAGCGCCACCAAGTCGACACTACACATTCCGAGGTACGTGCTGAAGTGTATGTAGGCGGCATACTGGCGTATTGATCATGTGTGGTTGATTTTGCTTCAGGTGCAGCGGCTGTTGCCTTACTGCGTTGGGTTTGTGTTCAGGAGAATAAGGAATACAGTGGGCACACTTTACCACTGACTTTTGTGGGAAACCTGACTTTCGGTGGTTATTTCTGCGAATTTGTTACTGGAGGATATGCTAACTGGAACGAAGAAGAGAAATAGCGGCGGTGCCACGTCGGACGAAAACGATTTGCTAGGATACTTGGATGTTGCATTTGAACGCGAACAGCATACTTCGTGGGACCTTTACCCACTGGACCACCAATTAGCAGCCAATAAGTAGGCTAATACGTTTTACATTATGAATTAGGACCGTGGAGCTTTATTCAACGTCGGACTCTTTTTAAAATTAATGTTTATTAGGCGTGTATTAGTCCTGTTTCGATAGCGACCACAGTTCGCAAATTCCTCTAGCAGGGTTACATCACGAAGGTATCACTAGATGAAATCAAGAAGTTTTTAATATTTATCTAACATTTATTGATGGGTTGACATTTTTTGATGGGTTGATGTCCCAGTCTAGATGCCAGACCAAAAGCAAAACAAGGCAAAGAGTGGTTTCAAATGTCAGCCATATTTTCTATATAATAACTTGGACGCGATCTCGAAGAAGTCCATTCGCCGGCTTGCTCGGCGAGCTGGGGTGATCCGAATGTCCGCTGTGATATACGAGGAGGCTCGGGCTGCACTAAAGCGTTTCGTAGTGAATCTCGTACAAGACACTGTGGTGTACACACAGTACGCTAACAGAAGAACTGTAACGATGCGCGATGTCGTCTATGCTCTCAAGCGCCAAGGTCGTCCGATCTAGGGCTTTGACTAGACGGTACGGCTCGTAAAATTCTACGTAGAATAACCTTAAACGAAATAGAATACGATACGATGATACTCATTAAGTATCATGTTTTATGACAACAATTTTAAGAGCGGTCAATTTGATACCACTCCTTTAACATCCACGAACTGCGATTTCCCCCGGGCGAGCGCCCGGGTAAGCTGTCCTTCTAGATGCGACTACCATCGTTTTAGCTGCAGTTATCGCGGCAACAATACTGTACAACGGATTCCGACCTCAGAACATGAGCGAGACTGCTGCTTACTCCACGAGATTCTTAAGAACTATCGATCCCGATGCTGTCGAGGAAAGAGCGCCCGTCGTAGATACGCTAAAAGCCTTGGTGACGTCTTCAGAGGTGACCCCAGATAAGCTCAGGAACTGGCTCAGTGAAGGGAAGTCAGCAGACTCAGTGTTCACGAGGATGCACCTCGCGAAGACCAAGGACATGCTGTTGAAGAGACCTCAGTTTAGATCATGGGTTCAGTACGCCGACGATCTAAGTAAGGCATCCAAGAAAGAGATGTTAGTAATTTCGACTCTGACTGCTCAGTATGGAGACGATGCACTGTACAAACTAATTGAATCAGCTAAGCTGGACCCGAAGATTAAAACCCTCGCAAACAGACTGGAAAGGGAGCAAATGCAATACTGGGTGGCTGTTCGAAAGAGTCCTGACGACGTATTTCCTATCTACAAGCTTGACGAGGCGAAACAAACAGTACTGAGCACTCCAAAATTCGTCAATTGGGTTAAGCACGTCGATGATTTGAACGCCAAGCATCCCGAACAACCTGTAACGACGATCCCAACGCTGAAAAAGTATTTTAACATCGACGACGAAGGTCTCCTCAGCTTGATCAGCGTTGGTAAGCAATCCGAGCGAACCAAAAGCATCGCCCCCAAAGTGGAGGATGATCTACTTCAAATTTGGGGCAACAGCAAGAAAACACCGGACGCAGTACTAGACGAGATGAGGATTGACAAGATGAACATTCCCCTTTTGGAGAACTCGCTATTCACAACTTGGGCGAAGTACGTGAGTATCTTCAACGCGAAGTACCCCAACGAGAAAAGGACAATGATCGTGATTCTAACACGGAAGTTTGGTGATCAATATATCACGCATATCCTTTATAAGGCGAAATCGATCGATACGACGAAAACCATGGCAACTCAACTGGAATCTGCACAACTGACAATGTGGCGAAGCAACGACAAATCTGTTGACGACGTCTTCGACCTACTATGGCTTCGTCGAAGAGATCACGATTTCTGCTCCCGCAATTCGCCACCGATACTCAATGCGTGTGTCTCGTACTTAAATGTCATCACCACAGAAAGCCCGACAATGCTACCCATTTTGCTCTCAAATTTAAAAACCACCTTTGACGACCGATCCAATTCCTGGAAGCAGCAAAACCATTCCGAAGTCTCGAAAGGGCTGTCGACAAGCTTGAGACGGAGAAAATCCGGGCAATTTTTGAAAGGAGAGAACAACCAAAAGAAGCATTCAGACTTCTTGGACTTGATGGCAAGGGAAATACCATTCTCAGCAACCCCCTTTTTAAGGAGTGGATGGACTACGTGAAGATTTTCAACAGAGAAAACCCGAATAAACAAGAATCCTGGTTTTATCCGCTACGTATACACTATGGATGGTATGGCGTCAAAAAGATCATCAAGACTGCGATGAACAACCCGAACACAGTGAAAATTGGTAAACAGGTGGAAATTGCAATGCTGAAGCAATGGCTGGAAGCTAATCACAATCCTAGTGAGGTCTTTAAATTCTTAAAACTCGGTAAAGCGGGCAAAGAGATTATGTCCAGTCGGAAATTCAGTTTATGGACCAAGTGTTTGAATGACTACAACCGCAAGTTTCCTGACCAGAAAGAGAAGATGATTGATATCCTCTCGTCTAAGTACTTCGACGTTAATCTCCTGGCGATTATTAATGCGGCAAAGAAAGACCAAATCACGAAGATGCTAGCCACGGAACTGGAAGACGCGCTGGTTATGAAATGGGTTGCAAAGAACGAGAATCCTGCCCAACTTTTAGAGAAACTCCGTGGTATTGAAAATGCCGATGAACTGGTAAAGCGATACACCGATCTTGCGCGAAGTAAAAGAATGTGATTCCACGTGAAGAGCGATATCGCTCTGTCCATTGGCTACAATGGTTTTTGTCAATAGAACCTGTTCCTTGCAATCTCTTATCAGTGTTGCCACTATTAGTATTATCTTGTATCGGCCAAGAAAGGGCCAAACATGGTTTTGCTAGGGGATTTCGGACAATGGGGCCATTGGCCAGATTCAGTCTCAAAGTAAGGGCTGTCACTATGGTTTTGGTCATAAACGTCTGGCTGGGCTCGGGCCACCATCGATTGCGTCGTTTTGACTTCGACTACTGGTTGAATGCGGACACGATAAAGCAAAATATGACTTACTCGGCACTGAACATGATACCAACTAAATGTCTATAGAGATCTTAGCAATACGACCTCTTTGTCAGATAACTGGGATGAAAACCATTAGTTTACCGTAGCTCACACGAATAGTCGATGATTATGCGTCTTGATTTTAAGGTCTTCAGATCGGTTTGCAACAAGATAATATCCTACTCTTGTTTTTTTATGAGCATCCGATAGGGACAGTGGTATTTAGTCAATCCCCCTGCTTATCAATTAGCACCTCGCGTGTCGCCAGCTCACCAAACCAGTCGTTGACTACAAACCTCCCAACATCCTGAGCTCGCCGAGCACCTCGTTGGTCATTACACGACCACTCCCATGGCCCGGGGACTAGGTGTGATTTGATCGCCTAATACCAAAAGCAAACGATATACTTTCAGTCAGATACCACTCTTATCAGAGTACAAGGCATCAACTATTCTGCTTTGTGTCAGCAATACTATGTTTCTTGGACTGCACCATCTTCCCTACAACTTAATTCCATAATCGGTGATACATTGGTAAGCTCTGCTTGCGGTTGGCAGGGCCAGTGTTGCTCTAATGACGTTTTGTGTGGTTAAGAGGACTATCAAAAGCTTATTCACGAAGAGGATGTGCAACCCAAACGAACGCAGGGTCAACTGTCGTGGCAACTCGTCTCGTCATTCCGGAGCTAACAACCCAATGTAGCCTTTTGCCAATCTAGGTGCTTGGCAGTCTCCTCAACTCGTAGAACAAATGGTCATACCACGAAACGAGTGACGGTGTGCATATATGTGATTTCTCGACGAGATTTGTGGGAAATCTAAGGATCGATAATGGAGCAGATTGCGAGTCACGAATCGCGATAGTGCGCTGGATAATCACGCGGATCTTGGGCTTTTCGCCAACCGTCTTTCTCCTTGAGCAAAGGTTCAAATGCACTACCCCCGACGGTGGTGATCATAAATTGTCAAAAGAGTAATAAGTGATGGAGGAGGGAACTGCACCGTTAGTAGACCTTCTCTCCGTTGCTCAACCAGCTGCGTTCCCGATGCCACCTCGGCCCATAGAGACTTCAACAATATCAAGACACAGCTTTAGCTGATTTATGCCGTAGAGGTCGATATTACGAGCAAACGAGGTGCCAGTGCGTAGCTGACAGCTCTCCTACACGAAATGGTATAGTTAGTCTTTAAGTGTAGGTGAGCCGTTTCAGACTCAAGTTGTTGTCTACTGACAGAGCTAGAATCCAGTTTACGTAACTAGAACACTGCGAAAGGTGACGATAGATACGTTCTTATCAGCCACACTTTGTTTTTACTCGATTTCAACATACTATAATCCATTGGCTGTAAGTGTAGGCGAAATCGCCAAGCGACCTGACAAGATTTGTAGAAACACTAAGAGACCAACATATTTGCCTCTAGCAAAGAGCTAGTGTCTAATAGGAATTATAAGTCTCTATGCAGGTATACTAGCAGCATCTTATATGTGTGTAAGCTGCTTTCGGGTAAGCGATACATTAAGGGTAAAATTGACCCCTCATTCCCAAAATATTTAAAGTATACTCCATTCTCTTAAATTAATGGTTGATTGTGTGGCATTATTAATACAATTAATTCGTAAGACCGTGGGTTTGTTAACCCCTTTAGCCCCGGGTCCTGTATTCTACAGGATAGTCAAAATCTTATCCTGTATTATACAGGATAAGAATTCGTCCATACTCAAATTCAGCCATGTATACAAACGCCTAGTAATACAAAATGATTTGAAGGCCAGACGTTTGTTGCTAACCTCGGAGGGTATTATTCGTGGCCACTGTTTTTCGACATTTAGAG